GATAATGAAAATAATAATAGTAATAATGATAATATTACTAATGGTAATTATAATAATAAGAATGATAATAATAGTAATAGTAATAATAATGATAATAACAATGATTTTCTTATTATAATGGAGATAAGCCCATTTGTGAGGTCAGTATACATTTTTTAAACAGGGGCCCATCCCATCTACAAAAATATGACTCAGACAAGAATTGTCACAAAGGGTTATGTGGGCATATTTTCAAAGTTCGGAAACTACCTTTTGATTTTTCAGGTTTGTTGTTTTTTCCCTGTAAATCGGAACTCTCACATGTTTTCTTTCTGCCCTTTGTCATTTCTTATTTGTGAGGCGTGCTGACGAAATGAGTTACTTCTCAGATTTTAGCCCGATGGAAATTGAATAGATACGTCAGATTAAATGGTTAAGTTTTTAATAATTCACTAGTATGAAATGATAAAAGACCTGTTAAACTTGAAGAGAATGGCATTGAATTATAATCTATAAATATGACCCCTGTGTCGATTTTTGGCAGAGATCTGCGAGAAGTAACTCTTTTTGTCAGCACGCCTAACGTTTTACTGGGAACCACTTCCACCTACTTCCTACTTCCGTCTGATTTTACCGCCATGCCTCACATATTTTTTTCTTCACAGCTGAACAAACATGTTGTTGATGCTCTGTTAGATGCTGGGGTTCTTGCTGTCTCCTGTTCTGTGAGTATTCTTATTATAAATGAGTTTTTATGTTACCCACACACAGACACACACACAGATACACATGCAAACACACACACATTCAAACTCACAGACCCACACACATTCACAGACACACACACTGACCCTCATACCGATCCTCAACCAAACCCACACACAGACAGACAAACACACAGACCCACACACATTCACAGACACACACACTGACCCACACACCGATCCTCAACCAAACCCACACACAGACAAACACACAGACCCACACACAGACACAGACACACCCACAGATACACACACAGACTCACACAAACATTTGATACACTCACATTTACACTTACACACAATTACATATCAATAATAGTAGTATTATTTAATAATGATAATGAAGATAATGTTATGTCCCCCATCAAACATACAATACAGCTGTAAGCGCTACCAGCACACCAACACACACACAGACACACACATGCACACACTCACACACACACACACTCACACACATACACTCCTCATTCACACACTCACACTCTCATACTCACACACACACATACACTCACACACTCACACATATACACTCCTCACTCACACACTCACACACACACACACACTCACAC